GTACTTCGTTCTCTGCAGGTTTTTTAATGTCATGATTTCTTCCAGCATCGGATCGCGTCCTGACTACATCCTTAGTCGTTGTGCCAACATTGCCGTGAGCAGCGCCAGACCTTGCCTCAAGTTAATATTAGTCTAAGTGACAATTATTCTGTTCAACCCATACCGTTGTATCCTTATCCTTCATTTCAAATTCAACTTTGCACATCTCTCAGTATCCTCAGTTGTTCCAATAAGTCCCTTCAAGTGGGTTAAGTCTGGCGTCATCACCTTCACCACCGGTCCAGAAACTCAACATAATCGCCATCAGCTGGAAATCCTTAACCTATCCCTAACTTAGCTTAGCTCTGCTTCCCATTCTCAACATGCGTCATTCCTGAAGATTAAGTTACATGACGGGCCCAGAATGTATGCCAGCCTCATTGGGGACGGCTCTAAAAAGCTTGATTCCCTCGCTTGCTGACCTTCTAGGTCGCTTTGGATGGAAATATCTGACGTCTCAATTATTGCGTTTCCCAACCGCTACTCAATTCCCTCAAATTCTCTGCTAACATAAATAAGGCATACTTAAGAACATCTAATGGGCAGCTATACGGATTCATTTGTCAACTTTTGCTTCAAGTAAAGCACTTTCCATGCTCTTTTGAGTTATCAATCTCTCTATCCTCTCAATCCAACCTAATCATTATTTTCCACTTGAATCCTTTTTGTGAGAGTACGTTGATCCGTAAATCACATCGTCAGGCCCGATGCCATGGGCCATCCCTACCATTAGACCATTTTTAATACGCTCAACTGCATTCCTATTAGATCTCTCTTGACCTCCATTTGTCCCTCTCACCCACGCTTGGTAGACATTGGTATAAGTGAGGGTAGGGGAGAGGCATACGGGCAAATTTTTCATATAAAATGGGACTTAGAAAGGAGGTTAAACTCGTGTTCATCCTATTTAATTTAAGGTGATGAAGGACTAGTAGTTGAATTTTCCCATAATGATATGAGTAGAGCGTTTCCATTGCATTTCGCATAACTTTGCTTTACCTAAAGGTGTTCTTATCCAAGGTGGACTGCATTTTCGACCTCGCATATGTCTTATCAACATCTCCAGCGGGAGTCGAACCATGACACTGCAGCGTGTAATATCGACACGTTAACCACTACACCACATTGACACGAGGGCCCTTGGGTCACAGGGCAAATGTGAATTTCAAGGAAGATCAGACATCTTCCCATATAGCATTCTTTGATGGAATTTTCGATGGAGAAAACTTATATTTACTATAACAATCGACGACATTACTTTTTTCCTTTTTGAGTAGGTTTTCGGAACTACCAGTAAGTCAGTTATATGAGATGTATTCACCCAATTTCGTTCAAAGTGATGAAGTATTGATAGTTGAATTTTCCAACATTGACATGAATAGAGCTGACGTTTCCATTGAATTTCACTTAGCTTTGCTTTCCATAAATGTGTTCTCGTCCAGGGTTAACGTGTCGAGATTAGACTATACACTACCATTGCTCGACTCCCGCTGGTGGTGTTGATAAGATCTAGGCGAGTTCGAAACTGTTGCCACCCGGGATAGAAACACTTTTAGGGCAAACAAGGTTATGTGAAATGCAATGGAAACATCAGCTGAAATCATATCATTATTGGAAAATTCAACTACCATTCTTTCATCAACTTAAACGAAATTGGGTGAACACAACTCATATAAATGATTTAGTGGTAGTTTCGAAAACCTAATAAAAATGAAAAAAAGATGATAGAACGCAGGTAACTAGGACAAGGGGGAGGAGATATGACATAATCGTTGAATAGATACTTGGTTATGCAACAAGTCAACTGTCTGAGGCTGGTACAACACATGCCAACAAGGGTAGATGACGCAGTACATGGCACATTTTCCATACATACACTACCAAGCTACGAATACTAGATCAGACCAAATCAATGGGGAGAAAGAAGACTGCCGCAAAACAATGGTCATACCACCTTGGTCCTAATGTCATGGTTCCCCAACATGTTGCTTTGGAAATGCGGTGACAAACAAAGAATAGCCAACAAAATTGTCAAATGTCTCTTTTGGTGGACAGAACCAAGCTATACAAAGGAAGCAGAGCTGGAGCCCTCGTTCGTGATTAATTATCCTAAAGCATATCCTTCTGATCTCAACATGTCTGTCAAATGACGGTCGAAAGTTCAGCACGGATTCATCGGGATCGCGGAATAGTGTGCCGATGACGAGTTCGCACTTCAAGTGAAGCCTATTCAAGATTTCCTTAAACTTGCCTCTTCAAACGAAATGAACGATTGCAGAACATGACAGAAATGACAGAGGACTCAGTTTAAGAATAGTTCCTCAAAGGTTCCCTGAAGTTTCGGCTATGGTGCAAAAATGGGGTTCCACCATCCCCGACTAAATGTCCTCTTCATTTTCATGATTTAACGCTTTATAAATTTTAACTAGACAAGGATTTTATTCTCTGAAAATGTCTTCATGGCAAGAAATACGAGAGCTATTCACTTATTAATCTGGTTTGTAGAACGGTGTACAGAGGTCTATTTACTACTAGTGCAAGTTAGCAGTTTACCAATCTCTTGAATACAACTTTTTCTACAAAAATTAAGGGTCAATGTCATGGAAATGAATCTTGCCTTATACTCAAATTCACGCTATGAAAGGTTTAAAGCCAAATATGACCACAGTTTGAGATGGTACTAGTTAACCAGGTAACTTTTAACAATATACTTATAAGCTATGTCTACCGAGGACAGTGTTTTGCTTGATCTTGTGCCGAAGGTAATCATATGTTCCCAATAGCTACTAACAACGGTCACAAGAATCCTGCTCCACTATCTTTTCTACTGCCATTTCGATTAGTTAAGCTACTTTGCACTCAATTTATTCCAACGCTTACTTTGATTAATTTAAGGTTGATAAGGGATTATCTTTAGATCGGGACTCAATTCATCTACCCGCTTAGCCGGCGATCATGTCTTTTGCTAATGCATCTTTTCTGATTTCCTTGATGACATTATTTGTAAGGTGGTTAATAATATTCAGCTTAGGACCGGAATTTTTACCTATCGCTATGACTTATTGGCTTATTTTATCCAAATCCAGTCGATTCTACTCAATGTGTGATTTTTCAGACTCATGCGTCAACTGGTCAGCCCTGGTCTTTCGTCCTCTTCTTTTCGACGTGCCGAATATATTCCTCATTGCCTCCAATTTTGACCCGAACCTCTTTAACCACCTCCCGGTTGGCGAAAATGTCAAGGCATTTAACGGTGCAACCATCTGTGGGCAACGGGAAACACAGGGATGTCCACAGGCCCATAAAAATTGTCATTACCCTGCGTTGCCACGGCTCCATCAAATCCACCTCATAGCATGGCAAGCCCTGCACGAATTAGCCAGTTCGTGTTAGCCAAACAATGTGTGAAGCAACGATATGTTGCTACTCCTTATGGTATCCCTCATGCATACATTTGCATTCATATTATTTGCATTCAGATAGCAAAGTCAAGTCTTTAGAACTTGGTAGGTTTAGAAGTT